GAGACAGGGTTTCTCTGTGTAGTTTGGTGCCTGTTCTGGATCTCGCTCTCACAGAGATCCGCCTGGCTCTGCCTCCCAAGTGCTGGCATTAAAGGTGTACGCCACCGCTGCCTGGCGAGGTTAATCTTCTTATTCATGGTCACTGTGGCAATGAGCAGAGCCAGGACCCAAGACTGATTCTTTTCACTGTTTCAACTTTTTTTTTTTTTTTTTTTGAGACAGTTTCTGTGTCACTTACTTTAATTCCCTGGTGGTCTTATTTTATTTTATATTTTTTTGAGACAGGATTTATTTGTGTAGCCTTTGTGTGGCTGTCCTGGAACTCACTCTGTAGACCAGGCTGTCCTCGAACTCACAGAGGTACACTTGGCTTTGCCTCCTGAGTGCTGGGATTAAAGGCGTGCGCCACTATGCCAGGCTCATTCAACTTTGAAGGCCCTCCCCGGCTCTGTCCAGGCTGCACACCTCCCGGGGAGCACCTGTGTGGGGACCCCGCTTACAGCTGTCAGCTTTTCATGAGGACTGGTGTCCTATAGTCTAATTACTGTGATAAACACCATGGTCAAAACCAACCTGGGGAGGAAAGGCTTTGTCTCGTCTTACGGCATCACCCAGGGAAGTCAGGGCAGGAGCTGATGCAGAGGCCATGGAGGGGCCGCTTACTCGCTTGTTTCTCATGGCCTGCTCAGCCGGCTTTCTTATAGAACCCAGGACCACTGGCCCAGGGATGGCACCACCCCCTAGTGGCCTGGACCCCCCTCCCCTCAGCTATTAGTCAAGAAAATGCCCCACAGACTGGTCTATAGGCCAGTCAGATGGAGGCCTTTTCTGACTTGTCATCCCCTCTTCCCAGATGGCTCTAGCCTGTGCCAAGTTGACAAAAAGCTAATCAGCAGAGCTGTTTTCCTTCCTGCCTCCCCGTGTTCAAATTACCTTTCAGACTTGAGTGTGTGTCTTGTTGCCAAACATAATGCCAGCTCTGCATTTTCTTCTTCTTCTAGAGCAACCCGCACCCTTTGGTCTGGGCAAAGCTGAAAGGCTTCCCATTCTGGCCAGCGAAAGCCCTGAGGGACAAAGATGGGCAGGTTGATGCCCGCTTCTTTGGACAACACGACAGGTGGGCGTTTAAAAACAGGCTCCGAGTGGAACCCTGGGTAATAATGTCAGAGAGTCAAGGCGCCAAACATCTGACTGTTGTTTCTGCTGTTTTTAAAAGCGAATTCTACCTTTTATTAGGAATGACTATGGCTGTGATCTTATTTATAGTCATAACAACCAGTGATCCTGTGTGTGCGAAAACCGTTTCCTGGTTCTGTGTGAGGCTCAGAGCGGGGAGGGCTTCATTCAGTCGCTTTAGGAGTCTTAGGAAAGAACCACACCTCCGCGGTTCTGTTGATGGATCTGGCTTCGGAATGAGTTCCATGGCTGTGTGAAGTGCTGCCGTTTGGTGTGTGCAGTTATTTACTTATTTTGTTTTCTGGAGTAAATTAAATCTCAGTGCAAATTACTTTTAAAAGTAATGCTTTTAGGGACCGGAGATAGTTTCCTGGATTGCCACTAAATGATTCTTGTAGCATTGGATGGAGTAGTTCCCCCTCCCCCCTCCCTTTCTCTCTATCTGAAATGGGAAATGACAGGGGGATGGTGTTTTGACGGGTGTGAACCCTCCTCCCAGCCTCTCCACCCTCCCCTTACCTTCCCACTTAGGCTGAATGCAGTTATGGCGTCTCTCCAGCTTCCAGCAGCTCCCATTGCCCTGGCCCTGCCTGCCTGTGAACAGGTAGTCAGAGGGGCTGCTTGTCATGTCCCCTTTCAGCCGGCCACCTTGTGATGAAAGGCAGCCGAGACTCCCTCAGAGCTCGCCCCTCCCCCTCCCCCAAGCATTTGGAGAAGATGTATGAGTGAGTGCAAAGGAGTTCAAGTCACATACCACACAGAATATACATATACAGCATCTCAGAGAGCACTCACTCTTGTCAGTTTTCAATTGACTCACAGATCAAAGGAAAAGAAGAATTTCAGTTTCTTCCAGAAATCCCAGCAGGTCCCTTGTCAGGAGAACAGATAGTAGCTCATTGAGGTGGTACTGACTTTGGCAGGGAGTACCACACTTTAATTTTGACACCTCCCACCCCCACCCCACCCCCACACTTTTTTTGTTTTGATTTTTTGTTGTTTTTTGTTTTTTGATTAGCCCAGGCTAATCTCAGTTTGTTTTATAAGAAAGTGACTCTGGGCTCCCGATCTTCCCTCCTCTGCATGTGATTGCTGGAATTCTAGGCATACTCCTTGACACCTGGTTATGTGTTGAAGGAACCCAGGGCTTCCTGCACGCTAGCCATGCTCTCTACAAAATGAGCTCTGTCCCCTCTGTCCCCAGGCCCTCCCCACCCCCCCATCCCCCCTGTCCTGGACGCCAGGCCTGCATTCCTTCATCTCAAGGAATGTGCTTCCTCAGGCTGTTTCCGCGCTGCAGTGCGATGGCCGGCCGGCCGGCAGATACTTGTCCACGTGAGCTCCGAGGCTAGCTATCTGCCATCTGTAGGAAACAGTGGGTGTGAAGGTGCTGGTCACCGAGCTGGAGGGGCAGAGGCCAGTGAAGGGCTGTGCCTGTGGAGGCTGTGCGGTACTGAAGTGGTTTGAACTGGGTGCCCTGGGGGAGAGTGAGGATCTGTGCCTTCACCCACCTCATCACAGAGCACTTGTGTTCATATCTTTTTTTTTTTTTTTTTGGCCGTCTTATGCTACTGTGTGACTGAGGAGGTGCGCACTGTGTAGCCAGGCTAGCCTTGAACTTGGGCTCCTGCCTCGGCCTCCTGAGGGCTGGGGTTGCGGACACACACCCCTGTCCCCAGACACCAGGCACTTCGCTACGTCTTCCTGGTAAAGAAACTGAGGCCCAGAGAGGGCCATACCTTGCCCAGAGTCACTCAGGGGAGGGCAGTTCTAAGACTGCTGTCGTGGCCCTTCCCTGAGCCCTTCTGTGCTGAGGAGAATCTCATTTCCTTTTAAGGGAAAAGAGCTCATTCTTGCCTAGGCCCCTTAAGGCACTTGGGAACTTTTGGGGATTGGGGACAGTTATGACCCTGACCAGGGCAAAGGCCTGTGGCCTCCCCCCCCCCCCCAAGCCCCTGGTGCTGACTCAGGCCTGGTGAGTTTGTTTTCTGCAAGCTCTGTTCCCCTAGATGGGAAGTGTCTGGGGGCAGCTCTGGGGACGCCAGTGGCTGTCACCGCTGCCTTACCCAGCCCAGAGCCCTGTCTCGTCTCTTCTGGCAGCTGTTGGACTTCTGCTCAGCCTCATCAGATGTGAGGGTCCTCAGGCCCCAGCCCCAAGGTGTCTCAAGTACACCCAGGGGTCTGCTCACTCCTTAGCGCTCTGAGACCGGCTGCAGATTTGGGGTTTCTCACGTGCGTTCAGGCTTTGGGCTGAATTTGGCCTCTGCACAGCCAGCCTCCTTCCTCGAGCGTCATTTCCGCTTCAGATGTGGGGCTTCACTGCCAGCTGTTGACGTGGTGTAAAGACCAGGGAGACCAGGAAGGGCTGGGTCCAGAGTCCTGTGTGGGCAAAGGCTTCTCTTACAGGAGCAAGTGTCTTCTCCCCCTGCCCCGGCTCCCATCACATCCTGTTGCTTAAGTTCGAGGTCCAGCAATCCTTAGAGTTCCTGGTCTCCGTGGAAACAATATGGACAAGTTGAGACTATAGAGTCAGGAATACACAATTAGCAGGATGCTCTGGTGTCCCTAATCTACAGGATTGTGGTCAGATGCTCTTAGTTTTTTCTATGGTCATGGTGGCTGTGTGTGTGTGTGTGTGTGTGTGTGTGTGTGTGTGTGTGTGTGTGTGTGTGTATGATGAGGCTTGCTGGGCCTGGAAAAGCAACACTGATCTTTTGGTTTCAGGGTCTCTGCAGAACTTCCTGGAGTGTGGGGTTTAGCAGAGTAGAATGGCAGCTGCCTGAAGGAGCAGGTGGAGAGTGTCCACCTCAAAGCCAAAGGCCATGTATTATAGAGTTTTCCCCATGTTTATTTCCTCACATGCTGCCAGGCGTGGCGAGGCACTTGGGAGGATTCTGAGTTGTAGGCCAACCTGGACTACATAGAAAGATTCTGTCTCAAATAAATCTGAAATTTGCACCTCCTTCTAGGAAGATGAACTTGCAAAGAATAGTCCCGTGTGGAATTGCAATCTAAAGGAGGTCCCTGTGCAGCTGAGCAGGGTCCGGGAACTCTGCAGATGTGTCATGGAGGACTCTTTGACTGTTTTTCTTACTCTGAAACAGCAGAAAGCTGAAGGGATTGTCGTTTTATTTATTTTTTGGTTTTTAACCCTCATTTATTTACTGTGTGTGTGTGTGTGTGTGTGTGTGTGTGTGTGTGTGTGTGTGCGCGTGCGCATGTGAGCACCACAGCACATGTGTGGAGGCCAAAGGCAGCTTGAGGGAGGCGGCTGTCTTCCCTCCCTCACGTGGGTCCTGCCAGAGCAGGCCTGAGGCTTGGCAGAGGCCTGGCAGCGGCACCCTCACCTGCTGAGTCCTCTGGAAGGTCTCCATTGTGTTTCTAACAGATTAAGATGGCCGAGTGTGTGGAGCCTTTTCACATCCTGGCTAAATTTTGTTGTTCGTGTTCCCTCCTTAATACCTCTGTGAAGTGGATCATTCATTAACCATTCAAAACAAGCCGCTGATTTAAAAAGGAGAACCCACATTTAAGAATCTTGGCAAGCGCCTGCCAGGCTAATTTGGTTTGCATTAAGAAAATTAAAAGAATAAACAGACTTGGAAATGAGTGACACTGACTCAGTCTCTCTCTTTTGCCCTCCTAGAGCCTGGGTTCCAATCAATAATTGCTACCTCATGTCTAAAGAAATCCCCTTTTCTGTGAAAAAGACGAAAAGTATCTTCAACAGCGCCATGCAAGAGATGGAAGTTTACGTGGAGAACATACGGAGGAAGTTTGGGGTCTTTAACTACTCCCCGTTCAGGACGCCCTACACCCCCAATAGCCAGTACCAAATGCTGCTTGACCCCAGCAACCCCAGCGCTGGCACTGCCAAGACAGACAAGCAGGAGAAGGTGAAGCTCAATTTTGACATGACGGCGTCCCCCAAGATCCTTCTGAGCAAGCCCCTTCTGAGCGGGGGTGCGGGCCGCAGGATCTCCCTGTCCGACATGCCACGCTCCCCGACCAGTACGAACTCCTCTGTGCACACGGGCTCCGACGTGGAGCAGGACCCCGAGAAGAAGGCCCCGTCCAGCCACTTCAGCGCCAGCGAGGAGTCCATGGACTTCCTTGATAAGAGCACAGGTCAGCCCCAGTTGGGAGAGTGGGTTAGGAGGCTGCTTGGTGCCTTCTGGTTCCTTGGGTGCCACACCCCTGGGTACAAGCCATCAGGCCATCACAGCCATCGTGGGGGGCACTATGATGGACTAGGTAAAAGAGTAACCAGATCCCAGACAGGAGGCAAGTATTCCCAAAGGCCTTTCCTAGAAAGGGGTGGGGATGGGCAGGAACCCCGCAGGGCTCAAGGCCAATGTCTCTCAGC